CTGCTCAGCTGGAAGTCCATATCTCCCTCTCCTTCTGCCCCTACTCTCAGTTCATACTGTAATGATCTCTCTAATGAGCTCTCTCTAAAAAATAAATAAATCTTCTAAAACAATAAAAAAATAAATATCTCTACTTAATTTAAAATCTTCATCTCAATTTCCTTAAGATGAAACTGTTCAAGTTTATAAAGTATTGCAACTTCACTTCTCAAGAGGAAGTATATGTATAAATATATTAAGTTTTTATCTATTTACTTAAGTAATCTCCACACCCAATGTGGGGCTTGAACTCAGGACTCCCACATCAAGAGTTGCATGCTCTTCCGACGGAACCAGCCATGCACCCCTATATATAAATCTTTTACTTGCTTATGGCAGTGTATTTTTAAACAATGAAAAAATTAACCTACTTTCTCCCATCAGTAAGTTTTATGCCAAAAGATGTCTTCTTTAACCTGTACAAGAAACTACCAAATAGATACACACCATAAAATATTTTCCATAGGGGTGCCTGGGTGGTTCAGTTGGTTAAGCAACAGACTTAATTTTGGCTCAGGTCACAATCTCAGGGTTGTGAGATCAAGCCCTGCGTCGGGCTCCATTCTGAACATGGGGCCTGCTTAAGATTCTCTCTCCCCTTCTCCCTCTGCCTCTTCCCACTTGTGTTCTGCTCTCTTTTGAAAAACAAACAAAAAAATCCCCCCAAAAAACTCTTTAAATTAGTATTCCTTCTGGTTCTATTTTGTTTCTTCTCTTGGCCTACTTGGGCACTAATACCATATGGCTTTAACTATTGTGTTGTATTTTTTTTTAATTTATTTTATTAAATAAACGCTATACCCAATGTGGGGTTCAAATTCGCAACCCTGAGACCAAGAGTTGCATGCTCCACTGACTGAACCAGCTGGGCGCCTCTACTGTGTCATAGATTTTTAATAATTGATAATCCAAGGCTCCCTTCAATAGTCTCCTATTTAATATTCTTCATTATTTTCTAGGCTATTCACATTGCTTTATTCTCCTTTTGTTCTTTTTCCCTCCAAACTAGCAAACATATTCATTAAGAGGAAATATAATGATGTTCATTACAGTATTATTTTTTGTAGCAAAAAAAGGGAGGAGGGTTGAAAAACCTAAATATCTACTCATATGGAATGATAAAGCAAATTATGATATATTGACTGGATATATAAAATCTGATACACTAGTTGTTATACATGTACACTTATTAATATGAAAAATAAGCAGCACTGTAAAAATTTTAAGTAACAAATGATACCATTTTCATTTAAAAAATTAAATGGCAGGGGTGCCTGGGTGGCTCAGTGGTTAAGCGTCTGCCTTTGGCTCAGGACATGATCCCAGGTGCTGGGATCGAGCTCCGTCTCGGGCTCCCTGCTCTGCGGGAAGCCTGCTTCTCCCTCTCCCACTCCCCCTGCTTGTGCTCCCTCTCTCGCTGTATCTCTCTCTGTCAAATAAATAAATAAAATCTTTAAAATAAACAAATAAATAAAAATTAAAAGGCAACTGAACAGTATATAAACACTACATGTTACAGATATATGTAGAATAAATAATTATCTCATTTTGCCCTGGACTATGAGGTTTCTAGGATATGGGACTTTCATCACTAAAACTGGGAGTCTTGGCTAAATTGAGATAACAGTCATCTTAGATATATGTACATTACTGAGAGGCTGAGAAGAGGTAAATGAAATATTATCAGTGGCTATCTGAAGGGAAAACAATTATAAGTAATGGTTTCTGTATGCTTTTCATTTTTCAGTTAAAGGTGATATAATACACCCTTGTATGAACAAGCAAAGTTTACTAAGCGTCTTTTAATGAAAATCTCAAACTAGAATTATAGTTAAAATTCAAGAGAAAACAGACTTAGCTATACCAATAAAAAAGTAATGAGAGAAAAGCCAAATACTAAAACCAGGAATGAGCGGGAACATTACAACCAACCTACAGAAATAAAAAGAGTTATATGAGAATACTATTTACAACTGTATACCAATAAATTAGATAACCTAGATGAAACAGATTCCTAGAACCCACAAATAAAGTAACTTAAGAAAATAAAAAATAGGGCGCCTGGGTGGCTCAGTTGGTTAAGCGACTGCCTTCTGCTCAGGTCATGATCCTGGAGTCCCGGGATCGAGTCCCGCATCGGGCTCCCTACTCAGCAAGGGAGTCTGCTTCTCCCTCTGACCCTCTTCCCTCTCGTGCTTTCTATCTCTCATTCTCTCTCTCTCTCAAATAAATAAATAAAATCTTTAAAAAAAAAAAAGAAAAAATAGCAAGAGACATTTAACAAGTAAGCACTTAAAAAGTAATCAAAAACAAAGTCCATAACCAGATGCCTTCCCTATGAATTCTACCAAACAGTTAAAGAATTAACACCAATTGTTCCCCAACCCTTCCAAAAAATAAAAGAGAACACTTCCTAACTCAATGAGGCCAGTATTAGCCTGATGCCAACACCAGACCAAGAAAATCACAAGAAAATTAGTGTCTCTTATGAATACAGATGTAAAAATCCTCAAAGTACTATCAAACCAAATCCAACAGCATATTGTATTATAAACATGACAAAGTGGAATTTATCCCAGAAATGCAAGAGTGGTTCAATGTAACAAAATCAACAGTGTAGTATACTACATTAACAGAACAAAGGAGAAAAACCATATGATCATCTTAATTGATATCAAAAAGGTATATAACAGAATGCAACAACCTTTCATGAAAAAGAAACACTCAAAAAATTAGAAATAGAAGGAACTTCCTCAATATGATAAAGGGCATTTAACAGCTGTTTCTATATACCAGCAATGAATAATCTGAAGAGGGAATTAAAGTAATTCCATTTACAACAGCATCTAAAAGAATAACATACTGATGACTAAATTTAAGCAATGAATTAAAACACTTGTACACTGAAAACTATAAAACACTGCTGAACAAAATTAAAGAAGACCTAAATAAATGTTTAGAAGGGCATTTGTGTTCACAGATAATAAGACAATACTGGTTAAGATGCCAATACTACCAAGCATGATCTACAGATTTAAACAATTCATAAGAAAATTCCAACAGCAGAAATGGAAAAGCCAATCCTCAAATTCATATGGAATTGCAAGGGGCCCCAAATAGCCAATTCTTTAAAAAGAATAAAGTTATCCCTGATCTTATACTACAAAGATACAGTAATCAAAACAGTACGATACTAGCATAAAGATGGATACGCAGATAAATGGAAAAGAACTGAGAGTTCAGAAATAAACCTATACAATATGACCAATTGATTCCACAAAGATGTCAAGACAATTCAACAGGGAAAGAATAGTCTCTTTAATAGAGGGCACCGGAACAACTGGATTTCCACATACAAAAGAATGAAGTTGGACCTTTACCTCACAACATACACAAAAATTAACTCAAAATGAATCAATGACCTATAAATAAGAGCTAAGACCAAAAAACTCTTAGAAGAAAACATAAGGGTAAATCTTCATGACCTTGGATTTCACACTGGATTCTTAGACATGACACCAAAAGCATAAGTAACAATGACAAAAAATAGACCAACTGGACTTAATCCAAATTTAAAACTTCTGTACATCAAAGGACATCATCAAGAAAGTGAAAAGACGAGCTATAGAATGGGCGAAAATATTTGCGAATCGTCTATCTGATAAGGATTTAATATTCAGAATACATAAAGAACCCTTACAACTCAACAAGGAGACAATCCAAATTTTAAAATGGGCAAAGGATTTGAATAGACATTTCTCCAGAGAAGATATACAAATGGCCAATAAGCACATGAAAAGATGCCCAACATTATTAGTCAATAGGGAAATACAAATCAAAACATCAAGACACTACTTCACACCAAGTAGGATAGCTATAATCAAAATAACAAAAAATAACATTTGCGAGGACGTGGAGTAATTGGAACTCTGGTAAACTGCTGGTGAGAATGGAAACAGTGCAGCCTTTATGGTGCAGTCTGGCAGTTTCTCAAAAAGTTAAACATAAAATTACCATGTGATCTAGTATTTTCACTCCTAGGTACACACCCAAATTTGAAAATAGTGACTCCAACAGATATTTGTACACGAATGTTCATTACAGCATTTATTCACAATAGCCAAAAGGTGGACATGATCTTGTGTCCATCAACAAATGAATGGATAAACAAACCATGGTATAGTCATACAATGGGATATTATTCGGCTATAAAAAGGAATGAAGTACTGAAACATGCTACAACATGGCTGACCTGTAAAATGTTATGCTATACATTATGCTAAGGCATATAAGCTATAAACAAAAGTACAAATATTGTATGATTCCATTCATATGAAATATCTAGAATAGGCAAATTCATAGATAAAAGTAGATTAGAGGTTAGGTAGAGGGAGAAGGAGGAGTTGTTGCTAATAAATACAGAGCTTCTGTTTGGGGTGATGAAAAAGTTTTGGAAATAATGGTAATGGTTGTACAACATTGTGAGTGTAATTAACACCACAAATTGTACACTTAAAAATGGCTGAAATGGCAAATCTGATGGTTCTTCTGGCACAACACACACACATATACACACAAGAGGAAAAGACTTTGGTACATAACCTTCTGTCAAATAATAATTCTAGATTTTCATAACACTAAAATGGACTGTGTATGAGACTTTACAGAAGTCAGTATTCTGTAATATTTAATTTTAAAGTAATATGTCATTAGACTCCTCAAACCACTGTGCTAAAATGTTAAACCATTATGTAAGTTAAAACAAAATTCTTTCCCATTTTTTCAATAATCCAAGAAGCTCAATAAATAAAACTACCTATTTTCATATTATACACATATATGTATGCAAGTGATTATAAAATGGACTATTGCCTATGTTTCTTTATATTATTGTTTTTTACCCTGCTAGGGCTAGATATTAAGTAAATGCCAATCACTGACATTAAGCCTTTAACACTTACAAAATACACTGCTCCAAAGCTTCCATGGCCAATTTCTCTGAGATCTGTGAAGAGCTTCTCTGGATCTTCTTTGAAGAAGAGCTCTGCAATTTCAGGGTCCTTCAGGCTGCCCGCTCGGTTAGTTGATGGCATCCTGCTGGGCAATCAGTTCTCTGATTCTAATTTTATACTGCTATCCCAATCCTTGGTTCATCTGTATGAATGAAGCCACGTTGGCATAAACTATTGTAGAGAAATAAGAAAAGAAAAAAGTCAGGAAAAGCAAAAGCTGCTAAGAATAATTAGTATAAGATCATTTTCTGACAGTATATACAAAAACTATCTCAGGTCTAGATTTTCACTGAGAAGGAAATGTGGTCTACTAGTTCCTCAACCTGGCTCATCATCACAATCACCTGTGGTACTTTAAGAAAACACAGATTCTTAATATCCATAGTATATATGTATATACTACATATAGACTTTTAAAAATTAAACAAATCTTATGTTTTAGAAGTCTTTCTGTATCTGTACTTAAAGATTTACCTAATCCAGATGCAGTGCACCCTCAGAAGAGCTAACACATAAGCTATCAAAAATGTGCACAGCAACTTAAGACGTACCAATATTATGTCTCTAACACCAAGAAGATTCCCATCTATTAATGATATTCAAATATAAGAAAATACACAAAAGATTTAATTCAGTAAGTCGTTTCTTTTCCTTTCAGATACCATTTGCCAATGTTTAATCAACTCTAATACAGACATTCCAAAGAAAACTACAATGGGAGAAAGTAATAAATTTCACACAGATAACTGTTTCCCCATAAACCTGATTCACATTAAAATATGGCCTTTATCAAATCTGCATCATTAGATAAGTAGATACTATAGATAACCGGTAAATTCCCTGGTGTTGTTATCAGTTCCTCTATATCTGATTACTCAATTTTATAAAAATAGCTGTCGTAATTGAGAGGCTTCAGAACCTGGGTTCTGGAATGACACTGCCTGAACATGAATCCTGGCAACACTACAAACTGTGAGCTTGGGTAGCCTCATTTTCCTAATCTATCCTATTTCATAGAATGAGATAGCATCCTCCAGAAAATCAGAGAAATAAGAAATAATGAACATTTACTTTATAAAATAATAAAAAATAACTATGGTATCATTTAGAATACTAAAAATAGGACAAGGAAATCAATAATCTAAAAGACAGTCCAGAATCAAACCCGTGTATGGTCTGTCTTGGAATTCAGCCTACAACTAAAGAAGAAGAAATAAATGTTGAGAAAATTGAGAACCCATTCAGAAAAAATATACAAAAATTATAATCTTATCACATACCTTATGTAAACATTACTGCTAAGTGGCTTAAGAGACATCTCAAATAAATGAGGAAAAAATGAATTTGAGACCTGTTCCTCAAACTTAACACCAGAATTACATATGGGTCAGAAATACAAACATAAGAAATGAAACTGGGGTGTCTGGCTGGCTCGATAAGAAGAATATGTGATTCCTGATCTTGAAGTCATGAGTTTGAGCCCCACGATGGGTGAAGAGATTACTTAAAATAAATAAATACAATTTTAAAAAATGAAATTATATATAAGTATATATAAGTAAGTTCCTCCATAATCAGGGATTGAGGAAACTTTCCTATGATCCAAATCCAAAACAACAATGACAAAGACTGATATGTATTTAAAAGTATAAAAAAAAAAAAAAAAAAAAAACTTGGGACAAGGGACCATAGAAAAAGACACTCCAAACAAAAAGATAAAAGAGGGGCGCCTGGGTGGCTCAGTCATTAAGCATCTGCCTTTGGCTCAGGTCATGATCCCTGGGTCCTGGGATCGAGCCCCGCATCAGGCTCCCTGCTCGGCGGGAAGCCTGCTTCTCCCTCTCCCACTCCCCCGCTGCTTGTGTTCCCTCTCTCGCTGTGTCTCTGTCAAATAAATAAAATCTTAAAAAAAAAAAAAGATAAAAGATAAACTTGGAAAAAAGTTTGAAACTTATGTTTACAAAGGGTTAATATCCCTAATATGTAAAGTTAAAGACGACAACAATCTGATATCCTTAATACCTGAAAAGTTTCTGAAAACAGCAAAGAAAAAATACAGCAGATATGTGTAGTTCAGAGAAAAAAAAAATTATTCTTAACAACTTTAAAAAATTAAATTGCTTAGGGGTGCCTGGGTGGCCAGTCAGTTAGGCGTCTGCCTTTGGCTGGGGTCATGATCTCAGGGTCCTGGGATCGAGCCCCACATCCACTTCTCTCTCTGCGTCCCCCCCCAGCTTGTGCTCCCTCTCTCTCACTCACTCTCTCCCTCTTTCTCTAATAAATAAATGTTTAAAAAAAATTAAATTGCTTAAATCTAACCAACCATTAAATATATGAAAATATGTTCAAAATCACACCAAGTAAGAGAAATACAAATTAAAACTATACTAAGATTTCATTTTGTACCTATCAGAAAGGCAAAAATTTACCACATGCTGATGGTGGGGTGAAGGGAAATATGTAGGCACTCTATCATTAATAGCGGTAATGAAAACACCGTAAAAACCCTATGGAGAAAAATCTAGCAAAAACATATATGCACTTATCATTTCACACAAAAATACCACTTTAAGGAATCGATTATGAAAGATACTTATAGAAAACCTAAGAAATGATAAATGCACAAGGTCAGGAACTGGAAATCATTACATGGGACTATAAAATGGTACAACCGTTTTTGGAAAACTGTTTAGCAGATGCTTATCAAGAAAAATAAACATTTACTATATGAAGGAGCAATTCCTGAACTAGCTGTCATTTATTCAAAGAAAAGAAGACAAAGGCACACAAAAACTCGCACACAGTAGCTTTATTCATAATAGTCCAAAACTGCAAATAATACAAACATCTATCAACAAATAAATGTGTAATAGAATTGTGGTATACTCACACAATGAAATACTATTCACAGCAATAAAAATGAATAAACTACTGATACACGCAGGAACACAAATGAGTATCAAAAGCATTATGCTCACCCAGCAAAAGAAGCCAGAAGAAACAAGAGTATGTACTTAATGATTTCCCTGTTAAATTCTCAAACAGGTAAAACTAGTCTAAAGTAATAGATCCATGGATACTTGGGGTGGGTATGGGGGACAAAAGGGTCCAAAGGAGCTTCTGGAGATGACAGAATGTTCTATATCTTGAGGTAGTGAATTACGTAAGTATATACACTTGTATCATGTATTACATTATGTAACTGGGCCGTAAAACTACAACTGAACACTTAAAATGGATGCATTTCACTATATGTAAATTATACTTCAATGAAATTAACTTTAAAAAATTACATGGCTTGGGGCACCTGGGTGGCTCAGGCGTTAAGCGTCTGCCTTCGGCTCAGGTCATGATCCCAGGGTCTGGGATCGAGCCCCACATCGGGCTCCCTGCTCCACGGGAAGCGTGCTTCTCCCTCTCCCACTGCCCCTGCTTGTGTTCCTTCTCTCGCTATGTCTCCGTCAAATAAATAAATAAAATCTTAAAAAAAGAAATTAAATGGCTTAAATCTAAGTACCATATACACATATATAAAATCTAAGTACCAAGGGTGCCTGGGTGGCTCAGTCGGGTTAAGCGTCTAGCCTTCGGCTGAGGTCATGATCCCAGGGTACTGGGATTGAGCCCCGCATCAGGCTCCCTGCTCAGAGAGGAGCCTGCTTCTCCCTCTCCCTCTGCCTGGGGCTCCCCCTGCTGGTGCTCTCTTTCTCTCTCTCTCTCTCTCTGCCAAAAAAATAAAATCTTTTCTTTAAAACCTAAGTACCATATATATGATCTCTTGCATGTGCAATCCCTATATATAGTACAAATTTCTGAACTAGGTATAGAAGGATATGTATTGAAATGTTAATATTTTCTGTGATAAAGTAGAGCCATGAAAAGCATTATTTGTTAGCCTACACATCTGTATTATCTGAATTTTTATAGCGACTGCTTTTATAATTTTAAGAAATCTACAGTGTACTTTAAATTTGAGAAAAATAAAATAGAACATTTTTAGAACTAGAAGAATACATACTCTGACTAGGGAGAACATCCAAAAGGCTATCCACATTTTTTTAAATTCACAAAAGACTTACGCATTTTACAATTTTGTATGTCAAAAAAAACTGAGTCAAACACAAAAACTGTAACTTCCAGAGCAAACACAATTAAGGATTAACATTCCTTAAATATATAGATATCATTCAAATTAGTCAGAAAGTAGCTAATTCACCAACATATAAATAAATGGCCAAAGGATATATATCAGCATTCCATAAACAAGTAATATAAATTACTGGGGAGAGAAGTTAAAACTTGAGGGGTATGGCCATGAGTTTTGGATTCTCTTTTCCTCCTTTAACTCCTGACAGCTTTGACCTAAGAGTGGCCTGAATTACAGCAAGGAAACCCATAAAGAAATCCCCTCTTTCCATCCAAAGGACCAGTAAAAGGAGATCCTATGATCTAGAGATTGTGGGGGGAAAAGCCATTATTTTCTCTTTTCTCTCCTCAGCCACAGAACTGCACTGCCCCAGCAACAGAAAAAAAACAAAACAAAACAACAACAAAAAAACACCTCTTTGGCCAGAAAAATTGGAAAATAGGGCCCCTGTTGGTCCAAAAAGGATGAGGGGAATTCCCATTATTTTTTTAAACTCCTCTCTTCTTTCCCCATTTCACTTAAGGGGAGCCCCAGTTATGGGGAACCGTATAATGCACAGGTCTAGAGGCTCAGAGAAAAACGTGTTTTCTGATCAGAAGAACCAGGGAAAAGTCCACTGGAAATTGAAGAGTAAATGGAAGAAAATCATGGAGAAGAGAGAGCTGGAAAAGAGATCCCTAATTCTTTTATTTTGGTATAAGCCAACAAAACAAAGACTGATTTGCATTTGTGTAAAGTAGAATCAAAGAAGTATAGCAAAGGCTACACTACAGACAACTAATCTATAATATAAACCACTGCCAAGTCTCATTCTATCATTGAGAGGCACACAGAGGGCAAATCCAAAGAGCACAGCAAAGGTTGTGGAAATAGAACTCATACTGGAACCACCACTCACAGAAAGTGAGAGAGAACTTCCCATTTAAACCAGTTGGTGTCTACTAAACAAAACAATCAACATTCTCTAGAGCATATTAATAGAACTCAGAAATGACAACATAATATTCACAATGTCCA